CTGCGGTCAACGGCACGGTGCCGCTGACCCACATCTGAGCGCCCGGCCGCCGCCGCCCCCGCCGCCCTGCGTCCCCGAGTCGGGACGCCTCGTCGTTTAGCTTTGCTCGCCTGGGACGGGGGCCCGGGGCCGCGGCCGGGGAGGACCGAAAGTTTGCCCGGAGCTGTCGGCTTTGGGACAAAAGCCGGGAGGCCGCCGCAGCGGCGGAAACGGGACTTGGGCGAGGTCGCCGGCCCCTCGCGGCCGCCCCTCCCTCCCCTTTTGTGGGCTGGGAGTCGCGGCGACGTGGGCCCCGAAAAGCCGCCCCGCCCCTCCCGGGCCCCTGGGTCTCTGTGGCATTTGTCTCGTTAGTTTGCTGTTAGCCAGCGCGTGAGCGCAGGGAGCCCCCAAGGCGCGGGGCCGCCCCGCCGGGTCGCGTGGCCGCGGGGGTCCGCGTGGCTCAGCCCGCGGCGCGGCGCGGCGGCCGAGGTTAATTTATCGCCAGGTTCGCGGGTCCCCGCCTCGCCGCCCCCGGCCGCGGGACAGCTTCTGTCCGGGCTGCGTTTAGGCTGTTAAGTTGGTGACTTCTGCCGTGATGTTTGATATTTTGTCGCGCTAATGTATTCGGATTTCGTTCGGGTGGTGGGGCGGGGGCTATTTTGTTTCAGGTTTTTCAAGGTTTTACTCTTCATTCCTACGTGAGAGATCAATAAATTTTATAACCAACATAATGGAGTCTTGGTAATTTTGCGGGCCTGCCTGAGAGTTTAGTGGCGGCTGAGGGAGACCCCCGTCCCCCCTCCGGGTGTGACCTGCCCGGCCGCCCGGTCCGGGCCAGCGGGCGCGGAGGAGCCGGGAGGCTTTGCGCGGTCCGAACAGTGGCTTTCTGACTGCTGGCTGTGCAAGACACCGGCTCCCAGGGTGTTCCGCCGGTTTGTCTTGGGCGAGCGGCTCCCGCGGGCGGCCACGCACTTGTTGAGCGCGGTGGAGGAGTGTCCGCGGCGATAGACACGCGGGCCGGGAGGGGAGGCCCGAGCGGCGAGAGAGGGCCACTTTCTTTCACCTTTGTGCCCTGGGGCGGGAAGAGAGGCAAGCTGCGGCATTCACAAAACGAAAAGCCCTCCAGAAACCCCAGTTCCATTAAAAACCGGTGGTTGCGGGGCACCCCGGCAGCAAATCAGTCTGTCTTTACAGTAGTGGTTGTGGCGTCAGAGCCGGCCTCCCCCACGCAAAGTTCGGGTTTAAAAAGTGCACCGCAGGCCGTAAAAGAGCTTCACACTCCGGATAGATTTTTCTTTTTGGCGTGTCAGCCCAGTGCATTTGCTTTCTAAGAGGCTCTCTCTCTTCCCAAGCCTAGAGCCCACTTTCTACTTCTCCCCTCCCCCACTTCTCTCCAGCCTAGACCCTTGGGCATTCCACTGTGCCCCCCAAAGCTACTTCATTCCTCTTCTCCCAGAGGGCCCCAATGTATCTGTTTGGGGCCTAGGCAGAAAACAAATAGAACCAGTGTTTTTACCCCCTCCTCAGCTGTTTGAGGTGATTTCCTTAATCCCCTTAATCCTGTTACCTCGCTATCCCAGAATAACTGAACTAGGACTTTGCAATAAACCCGGCCAGTGCACTGTTTTTATCCTCATCCACTCCTGACCACAGGTTTCTTGGCTTGATGTTTGTTGGGACTCTGGGCGACAGCCTATTCGGTAAATTGGTCCGAATCCCACATTCCCAATTTCCTTTGTGTGAGCCAGCCCTTCACCTGCAGGCCCGGGTGGGCTTGGAAGTGGGCTGGGGGCATTTGAGGCTTGGGGGGGGGAGCGCTTAACCAGCTTTTACACACCACTGGAGACTAAGCTTACCCTTCCTCTGCAGGAAAAGTCGGGTCTCCCAGGCAAGGCAGCGCTACCCCTCCCGTGAAGTGCTGGCAGCCACCGGGGCACCCACTCCCAGCCACAGCGCAGTGATTTACAGACCTCGGGCTCTTCTGAGGCCTGTTGGGCTGGGGAACCTAAGGAGGACTCCCACCTCTCCCACTGGCCTCTGCAGACCCTGGGCACTTCTGGCAGGGCAATGCTGACACTTTCTGCTGTGATTAGCACAAACCTGTCTTCCAGGTCTCCGTTCTCTCTCTCACACACACTGTGCTGGTGTTACACAGCATCACACACTGTTCCTATGTAGGGTGAGAACATCTCTCTCTCTCTCTCTCTCTCTCTTACACACACACACCCAGTGCTTCGATGTTCCCCGAAGGAGCTTAGACACTTGTCATATCCACCTGTCATATCTTTCAGTGTTTGGGCCTAAAAAAATAACTGTCTACAGCCTACTCTGGGTTCAAATTGCTAGCAGTTGTGGCCTCAGGTTTGGTCTGAAATGACTCCAGGAAAGGGAGGCTAAAAACAAGCCATTCTGTCCCACTGAGGGGGCGGTGCCAAGGGGGGATAAACTGACTGCTTTTTGGAAGAGTCCATTGTGCTGCTGCCTTCTTAGAAGTGCCAGGGTCACCCTCTCGCGGTCTCACATGCCGCTCACCCCTCTAAACATGCATAGCTTTGTGCCCCACTGTGCGTGATTCCCAATTGCCTTTGGAAGAAAAGATTTCATCAATCAGCACATTTGCAGAATTTAAATCCAGATGAAAGTTTGTTTCTTTAGCCTCAGCCATAGGGAAGAGATCCCAGAGGAAAGAAAAAGTTTTGTCCAGAGGTTGCAAACCAGAGGTTGCAAACCAGAGCACCCCTCCCCCCACACTCCTCCCCTTCACAGTTCTACCAGAACAATTGTACCTCAAACTGATTTATAGATTGCGGTTTGGGTTAAATTTCACTTGAAATAAGGGTTCAGCTGCTTCAAGGACACAACCCCAAGTTCCACTGCCTCTGGCTGGTTTTACCTGAGGAAGTTGGCCCTCAAAGGAGCTCTAGATTGCTTAGCTGGTTCCTGGGTGGCACAGACAGGCCCCCCTGGCCTTCGAGGGCTTTCTGCTCAGCCACGAGATGAAGAGAAAGAGGAGCGAAATCCCAACCCCAACTGCCTCTCAAGCCCAGAATCCAGGGGAATTTCTAGAGAAAAGCTAATTCCTGACACCTAGCCGCCCAGCAGCCACCACCTGTGAAATGAGGAAGTGGGGTGGGAGGTGCTGGGGTGCATGGGGTCCCCTGACAGTGTAACAGGGTGGTCCCTAGGAAAAAGGGAAGTTTAGGGGTGCCCCTCTTCCCCTGTCCTCTTAACAGAATTGGGGTGCCCTATAACAACAGGAGCAGAGCTACCTTTTGCCACAGAATCGTTCATTCCCCATCCTGTCTATACAGCCTCCTTCAATAATCTCCCTTCCAGAGCTCTCCATGGGGACAGAGCCTCCAAAATACAGGCACATGTATAAACATAGGTGTTCATCATACACCTCCTTATAACGAGAGAAAGTTACCAAAACAAAAAACAACAGCAACCAAAAACCCAAACTTGCAACACGTAGAAAAAGGTTGTTCAAAATGTGCTTTTGAGAAAGACTACTCTGTGGATATTAAAATTTTGTGTGGCCAGAGTTTAACGACACAAGGAAATGCTTAACATTCGAAGTGAAAGGAGCAAGGTACCTACAAGTACATTCTGTAAGTATGAGCTATGAAAAAGAAGTGTGCATGACTAGAAGCATATGCCAAAATGCTGGGTAGTAGTTGGAATACTGATAAGTTTCCTGACATTTGAAAGTTCAAGCTCTCATTTGTTTCGGGGTGAGGAGGGGGCACAGAGCCCCAGGAACAATAATCCTGCAGCTCTCTTCCGGGATGAGGCCTACAGGGAAAACACGCTGGGGAACACACCATGTAGCGCACCCCCTCACCCCACCCCCAAGCGCCCTCCGCAGTAAGCAGAGCAGGTTAGTACTGGCCCTGTCATTCTTCAGACCAGCTCACTGGAGAAAAAGACCTCCTGGGAGGGAAGCTGCACAGCCTGGGCTGTGGGGGGCAGGGGCCACTGGGAAACCAAAGGCACAGAAACCCAGGGGGCTGGGCACCCCACTTTGCCCTATTCGATTGGGCAGGGGCAGACAGCTAGCAGAGGGGCTGACTCCGAGGGAGGCGCTGCTGAAGGGAACACTAGGGGCCCTCTGCCCCACAGCCACCACCCTCAGCCACACCACTGTCTCTCTTGCTGGCCCTGCCCTGCCTGTCACCTGTTCTCCCTACTCCCACTCCGCTCCCCACTGATCCAGCCTTCCAGGAGCACACACTCCACTGTTCTACACTGTCTTTTCCTTGTCGCTTCCCGCTTCCCTCCTTCATCACTTCTTGGTGGCTTCCTTTGTGCTCAGGAAAGATTTGCCTGATCCAGCTCCCCACCCACCTCTCACTCACTCCTCCCACTTCTATTCCTCCGTTCCTGCCTCAACCCCAGCCTGGACTCCTTTGAAGAGGGCTGTTGAATAAATAGATCATGGTTCTCGAAAGTTCCTATCTAGATAAATGCTCAGCCCAGTGCTTGTCTTAAACATTTCTATGTCCAGGCCATGTTTTGTTACTCACCTGTGGGGTTTCCCCTAATCTGTACATCAAGTTCAGATTGCGTGATAACTAAAATCTACTGGGCAAAATGTGTCCCTTCTGCACTGCCTCGGGGCTGTTGAACTTACCGTCCCCTTTGCCTGGATGTTCTTTCTCATGTTCTTCCCTCAAATGACCTGATGTCTCACGTGACGCTGAAGATCTCAGTTGAAGCATCACTTCTGGGAAGACTTCCACGATGCCCAGTGAGGACAGATTTGCTTGTCAGGAGTTCTCACAGCACTGACTCCATTTTATATTTATTCGTGTGATTCCACCTGTTGGTTTCTTTCCTTGTCTGGAGGTTCCAAGAGGGCAAAGATCGGTGAGTTCACCAATACCTAGCACCATGCCCTTCCATCGTAGACACTCAAAGTGATAGGTAGGGTGCTGGCTTCATGCTGAAGGGATGGGGCCCTGAGGGTTGCAGCCAGTGGGGTCAGTGTAAGCCTGTGACAATCAGATTTTGTCTGAGCCTCAGTTTCTTCAGAGGTCATGTGGAACAATGATGTGTCCACTTTGCTGTCAGGATGTAAAACAACAATGATGCTTTGGGAGCCGAGCGCAGGGTCTGTTGCACAGCCATGTGCTGTGCATGCTGCCTGTGGCTTTCACCTTTTCTAGCAGCCTCTGTGGACTCTTCTGGGACGAGCTCAGACTCTTGGGTCAGATTCTGTACCTCCCATCGTCACAAACGTTTCCCACTGCTGTGGCCAGTTCTTGCTAGCAAAAGAAAGTAAAATAAGCCATCACCATTAAAAAAGAAAGTCAGTATGATACCAAACACAGACACACAAAACAGAAGCATACATTGGAGCTTTCCAGGTTTAAATTATTTTTGCTTCAAAGGACAGCGTCAAGGACGTGAATGGATGACACACAGAATGGGCGCGGCTCCTATTTGCTAAGGGGCTTGTAGCTGCACCAGATGAACAAGCTTAAAAACCAATAGCAGGCCCTCCCTGTTGGCGCAGCGGGTTAAAGCACAAACTGGGAAGCTAAAGCCACTTCCACATGAGTTCGATTCCCACTTGCCCCGGAGGAGACCACATGGCGCGGCAGACCTCTCCTGACCCGCCCACTGCTCCCCTCAGCAGTGGACTTCGTCGATCTGCCTGTTCTGTTCCCCACTCTGTCCCTGGTGAAGCCTCTCACCGC